AACTGTATTTGATAAAGTTTTGAACTTTTAAAATATTACATGGTAAAAACAGAAGCTGCTCTTCATATTAGTGACAAACTTTGGTGGTTTTTGACGAGTTATTTTCATTTTTGTTTCTACTTAAGGTTCTTCTACATATTAAAAAGTTGTTAAACATCTGAGTGGTGCACTACTGCTACTAGTGGTGAGAAAGTGTATTACACCTTATTCAAAATCAATGTGGTCCCACGGCCCTCTGTGGCCCAAAGTTAAACACTGTTGTTCTTTTGAGGCCCACAATTGGGCCGCGGGCCATGGGTTAAGAATCTCTGAGGTAGAGGATGTGTTTCACCTGCTGCCTTTTTATTTATTTACTTTTGTTTCATTTAGAATCACAAACAGGCTGATCCAAAGAGCTGCTTCAAACCTCCTAAAAGAGACTCTCACATCCTCCGTGCCGTCGCTCCTCCAAAGGCACGACTGACCGGCCCTTCCTCCTGCTCCTCCCTCATCTGCTTCATCCCACTCCTCCACCCGCCCACCTCCTTCCTCTCCTACATGTTGCACTGATTCTCATGCAGCGTGAGTTTTTCATCCATGACGGAATCTCTTCAACGTGGACTCGACTCGTGGCTGGATCGGCACGTCGGGGTCAGGATGTCGGCGCTCCTCGTGCCGAAGCCGTTTTGTCTTCAGGAGCAGTGAGAAAAATCCTACCAGGTGACAAAAAAGCTTTTTATTCTGTGCAGCCTTGAGGATTAATGAAGCTTTCCTTCTCTTTTTTTTTTTTTTTTTGAGTTGATGAAACTTCACACAGACCAAGAATTCGTGCTTTTTTACTTTAATTTCTCACAATAAGTACAGAGCTGCATCTTCAGTGAACTTTCAGCAGATCTTTGCTCCTCAGAGCGAGGAGCTCTTCTTAGTAACAAGGTTCAAGCAGCTGCATGGAAGCATCTCTGCTGCTTTAACCTAAACAGCTGTCGGCTCGGCGAAGCTGCGGGAAACTGCACGCCGACAAACTTGTTTGCATCAGAGTGCCTCGTTCTTAGCAACTGACGAGGATGAGAGACGCTGTGATGACCTGCCTGTATTTGACAAGAGTGTTTTTCACCTCGCTGGAGACAAGAGCACGCAGGGAGAACACTGACGGGAGGGGACAGCCGGCGAGGCAAACAGTTTGAAGAAGAGTCGCAGAGCTGAGAGGAGGAGGAGGAGGAGGAGGAGGAGGCAGGAAAGTCAAAACTGCAACAGATTTGGTCAGAAGCCCATTTGGTTGTGGAGCGTTGTGTTTTGTCAGAGCCACACGGGGTGAGTATGGATTCTGTTTGAAGTGTCTGTAACGGCAGCAGATTAAACACACGGCTCGGCTCACAGAAATAACACTATAAATTCTAACAGGAACATTATTTTCATGGTGGACTAACAGAAGCAGAGGGAGCTGCTTTATTTTATCATAAAACACAGACTGGAGTTCATCAGCTGTCAGTTGACCTGTTTGCTTCCATCGCCTCAGATTTYAATGTTTTATAAAGAAACCTGGCCTCATTTCATTTGAGACATTAAAAAAAATAAGTATTGCATTCCTTCATTAACAAAAAATAAATAAACTACTAACCKGTTTCTTTATTTGAATTTTCCCCCTATTATTAATTACCAATTAACAAAATTTGCCAATACAAAACCAAACCTAAAATGTCAAAAGTTCAACTTATTTGCTTTAAATGTTATTCATAAGAAAATAGTTTTGACTTGTTTACATTTTAAAAACAATACAGTTTAGCTCTTTGATGTAATTTGACAGGAACTAAATGTAATCAAAGAACAAAGCATCTGCACGTCACGTTCAGCTCCAGAAAACTAATATTTAAATTCTTTTACAGCATCAGTCAAGGTTTGTTCAGATTCTCAGTCGACTGGTAAAAAAATTATTTTATTTTTAACAAAACTGCAACAAAAYCTGATGATTTGCTGCATTTGATAAGAAATTAGAATATGCATTATCAGAATAAAAGAGGATCTGAAGACATCGATTATAATTTAGTTATTTTAAATCAGTTTTCATCATTTCTTACATAAAGAGGACCAACAGTGGAAAGAATCAACGCCTGTTTATATAAAAGTAAACTGATGTCTTTGGTCCACCTGATTTATTTTTTTATTTTTTAACTCCATCTTCTGCTGGCTTCATCTCAGATCTCCAGCTGCAGAGAAACAAAACGAGCACCTGTAACACTCGTTTGTCTATTTTTACCGTCCTGACGACACACGATCGGCCTCATTCCTCTGCTTTGACTCCAGTCCACACGGCTAATCAAGTATCAATAACCGGAGTGGAAAATCTTAATTACCAGTGTGATTGTGACGATTCRTCTCAGTTAGGAAGACGTCTTTGTGTTCCTCAATCTGGTTATCTAAATCAGCGAAGCTACAATGTGATTWGTTTTAGGATTATTATGACTGAGCCTTGATGGGTGCCCATTAGCAGCCTGGTAAAATACGACTGCGGGGGAGGAGAATTGATCCTCGTGGTAATGTGTACAGATAGATGGCTGTGTTACCTTCAAAAAAATAAAATAAAATAAAATAAATAAGCAGCAACCCCCTATGGGCACAGAACGATGGAACTACACAGTGCACACTTTCTGCAAAAGCTCAATCAACCCCCAGCAACGCAAAAACTGACAAAAAACAATGAAAAACTAAAACTCTGTAACCTCAAACAAAAAGCAGTAATTAAACCTGATGCATTTGCAAAGTGGTGAAAACATTTCTGCAAAAGCTGCTTTAAAATATAAAATACACTGGTGCTCAGAAATGTTGAGCACTAAAAGCACCAAGGTTGCACCCTCGAAACATCGCCTCAGAGTGAAAACCACATTTTAGCACTGGATGTTAGAAAAGCTGAAATAAAACTCAGTCAACAGATGTGTTTTGACACATTATAACCTTTTATTCAACCTGACTTTTCACTTCAAATTTTATTTAAAGCTCACTCAAAAAGCAGAGAAAGATTTATGTTGAGCAAACAGAGACTGGAGCTGTAGATCCTCAACATTTAACTACCTGCTGCCAACAGGTGGAGGCGGACCATAAGGTTTTTACCTAAATAAATCTGAAATATTGGATGAATTCTAATGAAACTTTCAGAAAGTAACCATTAGATGTACAAGTACAACTCAAGATGGACAAAAACTACACAGTCATGTGCAGCAGAGGACATTTGTATTTGATTAAAACGTTACAAATACCTGTCTATAACAGGGTTCCTGCAGCTTAAAGCAAGTTAAATTTAAGACTATTTTAGACTTTTTAAAGCCACTTGAAATGAAATTTAATACCAACTTTACTAGGGATGCACCGATATGAAAATTTCAGCCGATATCGATATCCGATATTATTGCTGTTATGGCCGATAACCGATATTTAACTKATATACTGATATTACACAAACACTTAAATTATTTTACACATATACRTACAAACACACACTTGTGTCTTTTTTCAATACCGTAAATAAACAACCAGACCTCTGACACGGCTCTACTTCAGTTATTCCTGGCTGTGCAGCGTCAATATCACTATCACGATCAAACAGGTAACTCAACCAACCATTTTGCCTCCCAAAACAGAAACACAAAGCTAAAAAATGGAAAATCAACATCGGGCATTAGTATCGGCCCCATTTTACATATCGGACCGATAACGATATTCTAAAAAATGACCAATATCGTCCGATACCGATGTCAACGCCGATATATCGTTCTAAACTTTACAATAAACAAATAAAAAACGGCAACAATTTTACCCAAAAGTTTATTTTAACATAAAACAACGAGCTGTTATACAAATTTGATTAATTATGGTTATGATTACTGGGGATGGATAAAGAAGCCATTGGTCCCCAAAAGACACTGGTCTTTATTCAAACCTTTGTGTCCCACGGATAAATTAAAAATAAATAAATAAATGTTACCAATTATTTTAATATTTGAGATGAATTACAATCATCTTATTACAATATGTTAACATTTTTTAAGCCCTCTGAAAGTTGATTTAAGACATTAAGGCCTTATTTTAGACGGATGAATTCAATGACTTTTAAGACTTTTTAAGGATCCGCAGGAACCCTGTAATAACCTCTCTGAGGTCCCTCACCTCCTCCATCGCTGCAGGTAAAGTTCTGCTCTCAACCTCCGTCCMTGGAGCTCCAGTTTCATAAGATTTGCAAAACAAAAGGCTGAGAAACACAAGTGAAGGCCATTTCTCTACTCGAAACACGTAAACACATTCAATAAGTCAATCTGTACTCAGTCCAGTTTTGTTAAAGACTACTTCTGCTTTGAAAGAAAAAATAATAAAGTCAGCAGATACAGATTCAGTYGAGACATAAAGACACTTCTGTGAATCCCTGATTTCACAGCTACCTTAATTGACCAGATAAAAACGGACTTGTAAAAGCAACACGCCCACATATAATTAACTGTGCTCTAGAGAACAGCGGCCCTCTTCACGTTCGGAGCATGACTAATCCAGCAATGTGGGCAAAACACTGAGACGAGGGTCAGGAGTCAAACACCTTACAAGGACAGCTTCCACATTTACGCTACAACAAAAGGCTATGATGAACACAAACTCAGTCTCTGATGCTGCAAGAAAAAGAAAAAAAAATACAAATATTTAATGCTCCAAAACCCATTCTGAGTTAAAATAAGCTGCATCCTGCTCTGCTAATTTAACTGAAATCATAATAAACGTTGCTGATTGAGGAGTACTTTAATAATACCCATTAGCTGTAGTACTCAGCAGTAAAAACAATTCAACAGGTTTTATTCTACTCTTCTTAATTCTCCTACTTGAGATGGGAATTACGGTGGTTTCTGCCTAAATATTAGGGGTGTAAGAAAATATCGATACACTGAAATATCGCGATATTTCATTTCCCGATACTGTATCGATATTCTAAAGCCCTGCATTGATTTTTTTATTAAGGTTTAAAATGTCAACTTTCCTGCCAGCCGTTCATTTTTATGTTGTAGTTCAGCCTCTGACCACTAGTTGGCAGCAG